CCCTCGTTTCTTCCTCTAGAGCAAGGCCTTTGGAAGGAGTGTGCACATTTGCTCCCCCCCCCCACTTATCCCTCAGTGCACCGCAATCTGGCTTCGCTGACACAGAAAGTGAACAAATATAAAACACACACGTAATGCGCATCGATTATAAAAGTTCAGAAATCTCCAACGTTCTCATGAAGGAAACTCTGCCCACCATATTCAGAGATAATCACAGCTCGGTGTAGTTTTAATATGCTCTTACATTCACTTTTTAAAACTCTTTTCTCTATGGATTCAAATGTTTAAAAAATTAACATTCTTTCATATAGAGTCCTATATTCTGCTTTTTCTGCCTAATAATACATGAAGTGTTTTCTATTAGCTGGGTTTTGCTGTACAGAAAAACACTCAAAACTTACTGGTTGATAACAACCACCATTTATATCACTCAGGACCGTGTGCCAGCGACACGGTTCTTCCAGCACGTTTCTGTGCAAGGAATGCTTTTCAAGAGTTTTCTCGCTTGAGCACTATGCCAGTGGATTCTGGATCTCTCTTTGCCTCCTGCAAATCCCTCCTTTCTTGGTTGGTAAGTTCTCATTCCACTCGGTCCTCCCATTCCTTCAGCAGCACGTTCTCGATTCTCTGTCGTGAGTTCTTCCTTTGCTTTCCCTTAAAAATTGATCACCCCCACCCCAAACTCTATTTTTAACACTTTCCGCTCTACATACTCGTTTTAAAATTTTTTATCTTTCGATTACAGTTGGAACTCAACACTATTCTGTATTAGTTTCAGGTGTACAGCCCAATGGATAGCCATTCATTATAGGTTACAAAGTGTTCCCTGTGATAATTCAATACATACTCCCCTTGAGCAACTCAACCCACAGCCATGTATTCAGTTGTCACTTGTATAAAGCTGTTATCCAAATCTGTGTATCTAGTTTTTGCTTTTCTTCTTAACACCGACCCTGAATATCCCCAAACCTATTAATATCTCCCATAGGCGTTCAAGTCAAAATGTCTAAAATGAAACTCATTTTTCTTACCGCCCCAAATGCGCAATTCCTCCTGCTTTTCTCACCTTGATTAATGGCCCCAAGATCACTCAGGCTGGAAATCTAAGAATCATCCCAGATGCCTCCATTTTCCTCATTATAAACGCCTAATTGATGCCAAGTCCTGCGGATGCTATTTTTCAGCCTGTGACTCCTTGGGTCTGCACTGCCCCTGCTACACCAGTCTCCGCCCTTAGCATGCATGACCTGGAACGTTTCTCCAGCCTCCTGACAGTCTGGTCTTCCTCCACCCTCCACCCCATCCACCTTCAGCACTGATATTAGAATGATTTCTCTGGCACTCAAACTCTGGCTTAAAATCCTTTAAAGGAGTCTCATTTCTTTAAAAAAAAAAAGTCCCAGTTCCTGAATGGCAGTCAAGGCTCTTCATTTTGTGGCCAAGGCCTTTCTGGTTTCATTTCTTCCTGCCTTTGTGCCCCTGCCCCCCAGGCCCTTCGCCTTCTCCCACCAGACTCGCTCAAGTGCACACGCAACCCCATCTCCCACCTAGGCTTCAGTGGGTTTCATTCCCTCTTTGGGGAATGCACCTGCCCTGTCGAAAATGACTTCAGGGGTTAAAAGCTCAGTCCCAGAGTCCCAGCCTTTCCAGCGCTCATCACAGGAGCTCAGGCTGCGCTCTCTCTGCTCCCTTCTCACCTCAAGCACCTTCTTGTCACTTGCCTAACTCCTCTCGTGGGACGCCAGGAAAGTAGTCATCGAATTTGTACTGAACTTTGTTTTTCAGATGTCTTGAAAAAAAGACTTCTATAGGACATTTTTAAAATTCCACGTTTGCTAATGATTTAACCAACCCAGCATGTTAAAAAATAAGTGCCTTAGCAGCTTAAAAGATAGAAAATGG